TAATACGAATATTACATAGGTGATTATCCAAATTTTCACCATCGATGGGATTTGAACACCCAACCTACTACTTGGAGGGTTGACAACCTGACTATTTCACTAGGTTGCTACATCCATGAAGTCATATTAGATCTAAATAATAATTAGTAGAAAATAATAAAGAAGATATCAAAAAAATAAGTACTGAGGTTCTATAAGAATAAAAATAATATAATGCAATAGTTAAACAAATAATTTTTATAACTACAAGTATTAGATAACTATAACATGTTGCATAAAACTAGGTCAACTGTGTGTAAGATATAAAAGGTTCTAGTAAGTTTCTTGTTAAGGATAAAATAATTTTAAAAGGTTTGAATATATCAGATACTTTGAATAGATGTAGTCTTAAAAATATTACTATAATACAAATTAAAATTATATATGCAAAAGGTTTAAATAGACAAAACCTATAGTTGATTTGCAGATATAACATCTAGTATAAAATCTGTATAGTAATATATAAGCAGACTATTTAAATTAAACATTAAAAATATATGTAACTAGTTGTAACCTTTTATATATAAACATCTTTAGAAATATTTGTATTTAAAAGAACTTAAATAAAAACATTATTCTCAAAAACAGAAACTTTAACTTAAATATATATATATATTTTTTTTGAATTATTAAATTTTTTTATAAAAAAAATTTTTAAAAATTTATTAATAAATAATTTGTAAATCAATAGTACAATAATTAATACTTTTAAGTTACAATTACAAAAATATAGATTCAAATCTAACTAAGAAACAAAACTTAACTAGAATTACAATTAGAATAATTGTTAAGAAGATTCTTTTGATTAAAAACAAAGATTATACATTTGAATGCAATTAATAACATAATCATAAGATTGAAACAACCAAATAAAGTATAATCTATCAATAAAAAATATTAAAATTAAATAAATCTAATTTTTAAAAAATCAAATATAATTAAAACATTAACAAAATAAAAAAAGAAACTGTAAAATTGTAACAATAGGAAACTGTAAACTCTGTTAAGATCTTACACTGCAAAGTCAAGATGATAGACTTACCTTTACTTGACACAAAAAGGTTGAAGAACATTACAGATGACATATGCAACAATGAAGTGTGTTAACTCATAAAAATTGAATAATATAAGGACCACTGACTGTCCATTAATCTCTGCTAAAAGAATTCATTTGTAAAAAATTATAACAATTTAAAAAACTAATCTTTAAATTGTTATAACTTTTTACAGAAGAATTTATTTAAAAAGCTAATAACTTTGTAGAACTCAGTTTGAATATAAAATTATTGATAAATTTAAAAAAATTTTTTTTTCTATACATATTACTCTGGCTAACTGACGTCTGAATATAATGACATAATAGCAAAATCTTTCTGTACTGACATTTTTTTTCAAATTTTTAATATATAACTTACTGTATCGACATTTTGAAAATGTTTTACTAATGTCGATCGATATAACCAGAGTGACGTGTAAAAAGTTTTAGCGATTCAAAAAATATTGTATTTTCGGCGAAATACATTAATTTATTGATCACGAGAAAATTGAATTATAGATTGCCGGAACCATATTTCCGAGTTTCAGCCCTTTTTACTACAAAGGCCTCATATAATATATATATCTATAGGGCAATTAGCCGTAGCTCGCGATATAACAAACCATCGATATAACGGATATTGCTTAGTACGGAGAATTATAATGAAACCAAATTATGATTTACTATAATACATTATGAGCTTTTTTGGTATAACGGAACAAAGGACTAGAACCATGGCCTCCGTTATATCGAGAGCCACTGTGTAGTACGATTTTTTAAAATAATAATAACTAGAGATTTGCGACTATTAAATAACAATTTTATAAACAAGATGTAAAAAAAATTTAAAAATAAACGTTTGATATTATGGTTTTTTTTTCCAATTTGACAAAACTGTTCTAAGGATAAAAGTTGTTGAAAATATCGAAAACTAAAGAAACAATTTATTATATGCGGACGTATTATGTATCAATGCAAAAAAGTCGATTTTTTTTTTTTTTATAAATTACGTATATTTTTTTTTTGTTAATTTTTACCTTAACGATATCTGATATGTAATCGAAATCGCATTCTGCGTAAAATTAATACGTACACATTAAAATTTACCAACTGTAAAATAAAATAGAATTATGTAAGGATGATCTAAACTTTGTATAATTCCAACTGTGCGATTGTAGACATAATATATGGTTATGTGTAAAAATACTCCATTATCTGGTTTTAAATTTAATGTGCCAACTTCTGGGCCCCAGAAATGGTACGTTAAATTTAAAGCCAGATAAGTAAGTTATTGGTGCGTAGCATTCAATAACGGTATTATCCGATAACTTACGACGACTGGACCATCGAGTTGTTTTGATGGTAATTACGTTATCACCAAATAATGAAGTAATTTTGGTGAAACGTAATTACCATCAAAATAACTCGAGTTATTCTTATAGTCCGATCATAGTAAACTATCGAATAATAAACAAAATCGAATAGCAATAGAAGATTCGAAATAACCACACTGTATGTGTACATACGTATGTAAATAGAAAGTAAACGATTGTGGATAAATTATAGTGTAACATCTATATAACCAATGGAATGAAGAGTGTAACACGTGATATTAATAATATTTACTTATTAGCAGTTGATCAACATGTCACAGATAAAATTTCTAATAATGAATCAAAAGATTGACGTACCCTAAATTTTATATATAAAATTTAGGCAAATTTTGCTTTTTCGATTTATTTGGATAAAAAAAAAGCCATCAGTTTAATTTTTAAGATCATTTTGTAATTATTTAGCATTAAAAGGTTCTTTTTATAAAATTTCAAGAGTGGTTTATAATAAAATTATCAAGAATATTGATCCTATCATTCAACCAAAATAAGCAATTAGGACCGTCAATTTAGTTGACAGTCCTAATTGCTTACTTTGGTTAAATGATATGCATAACGATAACATATAAACAAACAGTAACAATCGGCAAAAAATTTAACTTCGGGATCAAGATTCTTGACAATTTTATTCTAAACCACTCTTGAAATTTTATGAGAAGACGACTTCTTTTTTGTCGAAAAAGCAAAATTTGCCTAAATTTTACGTATAAAATTTGGGTGCGTCAATCATTTGACCAATTATTGAAATTTTTACACCCATGATTTACGTGACATGTTGATATATTATATCTAATATATATATTATATCTAATAATAACTAACGCTAATAATTACTATATAATAATTAGAAGAAGGTTATGAAACCAGTGATCGGCAGTGTTTATGATCTCACTTAAAGTGTGGCGATCAGAGTGGGTCATGAGTAAACGCCTACTCCGACGAAGTTGGTTGGTGAACTGTGGATTCGTGTTACAAATCTGACATATTGAAATCGAACCATGCAAATGCCCGCCAATCGCCCGCCTTCGAGATTAGAAAAGTATAAAATGTGGGGTTGGAGTAAGTTGTACAGAGGCCTCTGTCGAGTCCCATCAATCTACTGCGGAGACTTATTAGTCCTATGAGGCTAAAATTTTCCCAGGGTTACCAAACGTCCTTCTTTGGAAATGGTCCTCGGTGTTATTTTTTAAGTCAATCCGTCTTTCTTCTATTAACACCCATATTATCATTTTTCCTCTTCTTGCCTCGAGCTTCGTTCGTTGTCGCTTCTTTTCTTGTTTACGATCTTACTTGGTTATTCTCCTACGTATTATCCACTTCCCTCATTAACCTCACGCCACTTCAGAGCCTTGTAAAAATTATCCTTTATCAAGTTTGTATCTAAACTATATAGACTTCGTTTCTCGGCGTCTATATTATTGATTCTCTCGCGGAACATTCTTTTATTTCCAACACTTTTTTTAACCACACGCAACTTGTTGCTTTCCTTGATCACTGATTTTATTACAAACACGCGCATTACCAGAACCTATTGTTAAGCATTGAAAGCATTGAAAGCATATTGCCGTGGGAATAACTCCTTTGGCAACTTGTGTTTGTCACAAAACTCCTTTCTGAATTTCTGCTCAGTTTTCCATAATGTCTCAGCATGCTTCTCCTATATCAGCTTTCACCGAACTCGGTGCTACCTTTCAAGAAACTATTGCAAATGAAAAATTATCTATGGTTGTTGGCCAGCGACATAAACCTGCCATGACGAAGAAGAGGACTGCAAAACAAGAAGACTCCGACGAAGACGACAGATACTTGAATGAACCGGTGGCTTATCGCCCTTATCCAGTTACCAATACGAAAATCAAAAAGACCAAGTATTCCACTTCTCTAGATCCCAGAGGTTATATCCCCGGTAAGTTACTGCGTATGACTTGATCCTTTTTATTTTATTAGTTACTCTTGTCAAATAATACTTATCAAATGTGTTAACTACTATTTTATAATTTATAAAAATCAGTATATGAATTCACTATAAACAACCAACCTATTATGTGGGATCGAGAGAATGGGTACGTTCACTTCACAGGCATTTGGAAAGCCCTTGGGAACAATAAAGCCGATATTGCTAGGTTAGTGGATACTCACCCTGACCTGGCTTCAACTATCAAGAAGGTTAGAGGTGGATTTCTCAAAATCCAAGGAACCTGGTTCGTAATTCAATGTTATATTAATATATTACATTTTGAGTTTATAATAAATATAATAATTATTTAATATAATTAATATATTTATAAATCAATTTATTTATCTATACACGTATACATCTATATATTTCTATTTATTTATATAGGATGCCACACGATAAAGCATATGAACTATGTCGCCGAACATGTTATGAAGTTCGTGATGAACTTATTTCTTTATTTGGTCCAGAGTTCCCTTCTCAAGTTTTGGACCCGACGCAACCAGGATATGGTCGTCTCACACTCTCTGATTCTGTACCAACTAAAAAACGCCAAAGGCGCAAGCCAAAAGATGTGCGTATTGATAACTCTCCTTCCGCAAATAAGGGCAAGACAAAAACTATCATCAAAATGATGGCTTCTCCAATCGATGATACCACTGGTGAACTTGCTCACGACATAATGCATGATACCCATGTCATTAATGATCGCGTTGCTGATCAGCATCTTCATAATACGGGTTGTCAAGTTCAAGACAACCATCATCGTCATTTGGTCATTCTTCGTAAACAAAAGCGTCCAGCCGATGATATACACATTGGTGATTCTATCTCTGAAAATCAGGTCATTTCTAAACGAAGAAGACATCATTCTCCTGAAAATGGTAGTCTTGGTGACGATGAAAATTCTTCCTCTGATGATGGTCTCGCTCCTTTGGTAATCAATCGTCGTGGCTCGGACTCCGCTTATTCTAGTGCTTCTCAACGTCATGATCAGCTTCAATTTTCTCCTGTTGATTCATCTCTGCAAAAGACTCACCGTGAACTTATTCATTCACCTCGTTCTTGTTCTATTTCTCCTACCTTTACACCTTCTGTTATTGAACCTGCTCCCATCACTAACTTTTATAACCCTTATCCTCCTCCAACTATACATCCCACTTACACTAATCAGCCTCCATCACCTTTAACAGAGAATGATCTTTATGAAGCAATTAATGCTACTGTTGCTTTGCAACAGTTATCTCAAGACGATGGTGCCCGTCCTCTGCGGAAAGATTCAACTTGTAACGCTTGGCCTCGAAGTTTTATTATGGGTAACCGTGAATTTCAATTTGTTGGCTGTCGATATCGTGTTGTTCGTTACTGGTAATGTTACAATAGGTTTAATTTCTGCTTGGAAATTGAGTAGAACAACTGTTGATATCGCGGGATTTCCGAAAAATGAATAGATAGGATAAAGCAATTATAAGGTGAACTTTATTTGTAAATAGCTATTGCTTAAGGAGGGTTAGAAAAAAAAAAAATTCTCGTGAATTTGGTCACGACACATGCTTTCAAAAGCACTTTATATACAAACATCTCTTTTTTCTCTTTTCTTTATTTAGCTTAGTTTGGACAATTGTATTGCTTTTCTTGTCTGTACCAAATCTTTTTATATTTGTATATTTCTCTTGTTTCATATCACAATTTAATTGTATATATATTTTTTTGTAAAACTTGTAGATATACTAGTTGTTCTATTCCTTCTTTCATTTATTTTTATATTTTTTTTTTATAGGCATTATTGATATACATATCATTCTTTTTTTTTCTTCTTTTTTAAGTATAGCGGAGAACAATTGCTATTGTCAACTATATCATTAAAGTAGTTTGTATATATCTAACGGACTCTTAAAATCAATCTTTATAACATTAAAAAAAAAATTTTTTTTCTTTAAAATTTGACTTTATTTAATGTGAATAAGGTTAATATGTATAAAGACCAAAAATTTATTCAAAAGAGTAATTCATACATAAGTATAATATCCAACACAGATATATATATATACATACATATACATGTATGTTGTATCTAATAAATTTTACAAATACAAAAAATTAATTCCAAATACTCAAAGGCTTTGCATATTGCATTGGTGTATCCACTTTAATCACTTTTCTTGTAGCTTCTAATTCTCGGGATGAATTAATACTTTGATCTGACAATCCTGCCATTATTAATTTCTTCAATGAATTTTTACTAATTGCATACTTTCTGACTATTACCAAAATTTCATCATTAATGTTTGCCTTAACGTCTTCAGTGCTCAATGCCAAGCATTGAAGGTTTGCATTACATTTTTCAAGGAAAGCATCTAATTCTTGAGGTAAACATTTACAATCAATATAAAATTCAAGTAGTGATGGTGGAATTGCATCGCTTAATTCATCCATAATTTCGCTCGAAGTACCAAATAAAAACAAAGATGAATGAAACTCTAGATGTTCAAGTTTAGAACAACCAGTAAACATTGATATCAATCGTGCTCGTTTGGCTTCATTCGGGGAATTATCACTTATCGTCCCACGTAATTGAATCTCTCGCAAAGTTTCTTCACAACTCACAATAAGAACATTCATCACATCTAAAGAAAATTTGAATCTATAAAATGCTAATTTGGTAAGTCGGTGAAATCTTGTCCGTTGTGGTCTTATATCAGTTAATGTAAGTGTGCAACCTTCAAAAAGAAGTGTTTTCACATTTGATAAAGCTTCCACAATATCACCAGCGGTAACACATCTAAAATCAATGCTATAAAACTTGATCCAATTTAAAGAATCAATTTGTCCAATTGATGGAATTATTGAAGCTATTTTATCATTCGTTGAATTGCGAAATTCAATATGAAGCGATAACCTTCTAACTTTTCGTTGTGAAGATAAAAATCTGCATAAAGAGTCTATCCTCCGATCAGTATCATCTTCCATCATAGAATCTGTCAAAAAAGGAATTGAAAACATATCTATAGATCGTATACTATTACAATAATTTAAAATATCTGGAAGAATATCTCTGTCTAGATCGCGAGCAGTAAACTTAAATTCTTCTAATTGTGAAAGTGCCTTTTCAGCGGATGGTAGTTTAATTATCGAAAGATAATCATTTGGAATTGTTGGTGTCATTGTTCTTGATAAATCTATGCTTTTTAACCTCTCACAATGAGAAAGAAATACTTTACAAAGTCCTTTTGCAAGTTCAAAAGTTTGCTGTTCAATATCACTACTATTATTAAGCATAAGATGGTTGTTTTCATAATCTTCATTCGTTTTTGATTCCAACCAACTTTGTGCGGAATTATAAATTAATTCAAAATTCAAATCTTTAAGGAAACTCATATAATCGAATAGCGTTTTCGAAGGAATAATGGATATGTTGATTCCAGCAGCAATAAGATCTTTGCGTTCTGCTTTGGATAAGCCATCAAGGTATACTTGAATAAGTTTACTGGAAGTTTTTCTCAGAAGGTGGAAAGGTTTACTCCAAAGAACTTGTACCATATTAAGACACCAAGAACGGCAGACCAAAAGACAGGGAAATAAAAGCTGTGAAAGATTTTCATTGCTATTATCAGTTTGAATAATGCGTTCAAAAATTTCATGAAGCGTTTCAGCCGGAAGTTTTTCAACCATTATCGTTATCCTTGTAGATGTAAATCTCTACACATTCATCGACATTAAATTAGTTTAAACGTTACACGAAATTTTCATAAGTAAATCATACGTATACGTATACTTAACCTAAAACTTCAATACAAATATTAATATGGTGTTATACGTACGTATAATACCGATGTTATGAATATGTATAATTTTTTTTTAAAAAAATTTTTTTATCAAGATCCAAAACAGATTAATGAATCAAAAATTATTAGAATTATTGCGTAGTAATTATCCAAATAAGCTAATGTAATAAAATTTATTTAACATCAAATTCAAAATTTTCAAATTAATTTGCTATATGACATTCAGAACCGAAATAATATGAATAAATTATATACGCATTTGATACGTAGGATTTTATTGATCAGATTTTTTAGGGATATAACGATAAGCAGGAGAGTCTAGCATATAAGCCACATTTCTATGCCTAATGGCTATTACCAAAGTAGCTCGGCCTTTCTCAGGAGTTCTTTTATCAAAGTTTTATCCTTCTTCAAAAGTTTCACCTTTCACGGGAGGTTTCACTTTTCACCAGGGGCTTCGTTATTCACCAGGAATTTCTCCCCGAGATTTCGTCTTTCGTCTTTCTCCAGGTTCAGGCTCCGTCTTTCGCCATTTACATAAAACGGTTTCGCGCAATTATAGTAAGGAGTCGGAAAAAGAACTTGAAACTGAGGCTGATCTAAAGAATAAAGTGTCTGAAAAAGAACCCAAAACCGAGGCTGATCCAAATGTTAAGGTGTCCGAAAAAGAATCCAATTCAAAGGATAGTGAAATTGCCATGCTTAAGGTATCCTTAGTTAATTAGTTATTGATAATGTGTTTATGTAGGTAATTCATTTATTTATACGAACAGAATCAAATTAATTCCATAATAATAACATGAATCAACAAAACAAAAACTAGGATAAACATCTTCGTTGTTTGGCTGAACTAGAAAATCAACGTGAAATTTCGCGTCGAGAAGTAGAAATGGCCGCTCAATTCGCCATTCACAAATTTGCTAAAGACATTTTATCAGCAGTGGACAATTTGGAGCTTGCTTTAAAGTCTGTTCCACCCGAGCTACAGACTGAATCTGCCACTCCTACAGATTCCGCTTCAGCTATTAGTAAATTGGTTACTTTATATAAAGGAGTTTATTTAACAGAATCAGAATTGTTAAATACACTTAAACGTCACGGCATAGAAAAGATTGAACCAAAATTAGGAGAAAAATTTGATCCAAAAATCCATGAAGCTTTGTACCAAGCAACTGTAAGCGGTCAAGACGTCGGAACTATTTTTGATATACAAAAAATAGGATACAGTTTAAATGGCAGAGTTCTTAGACCTCCTCAAGTTGGAGTCGTTAAAGATACTGATTAGTATGGTTGCGACCTAGACCTTTTTGGTGAATTATGACATTATTACATAGTTGGGATTTGAAATCGATATTTCTACTTCGTTTGGGATAATAATCAAAAACCAAATATATGATCTTTCCTGTAAAATTCAAAATCAAAGTTGTTAAATCAATGCTATAAATTAGTACCGCAATTTGGATTTTGTTTAATAAAAATTTTATTTGAACATGAACAAATATGAATATTTATATTTTAGATAGTAATCAATTATTATTTTTTTGTAGCAGTTTTGTGTTATTTATTTACTTGGTTTGAATATATTTATTATATACAACTTATTGTACAAGTAATTTACTGTAAGTTATTCAACAAATAACTTATTTAAAAGAATGAATTTTAAGTATAATTTGCCTTTTTAGTATGTTTTTTTTTAAACTTACTAAAGATTTTGTTAGAATTTCTAATTTTTTAGAATTATTAAAAAGGTTATTAAAGGTTATATTAAGATTTTTATTTACAATAGAATACAATAATTTGATAATTTTTTTTCATAAAAAGAAAAAAAAATTCAATAAAAAATAGAAAACTGTTATCATTACAATTTATTTTTATTAATATTATTTCTTATATAATTTAACTTTAATTATAATTCTAATATTATACAAGTAAAAGTTATATAATTTATATATTTTTGAAAATAAAAAGTTTACAGATATTGTTACAAGGTTGCAACCTTCCTGATACAATACAGCCAAGTAACAAGGTTACCCAGTACAGTGATTGATTATTGTAAATATATATTGGATAAAGGTGTAATAGTTCACTTTACTACATAGCAGCAAGCAAACAGTTTGAGATAGTAATAGTATATAGATTAATTTTTTATTAACAATACACATGTAATAACCTTGCTTATAAAAATTACCAGCATTCAACAGTTAAATAAGATAAAGCCAGATAAAGAAATATTATTAGAATAAGAATATGATTGTTTAGACTATATTATTATAAAAAAACAAATAGTTAAACTCAAGTTAATACAAAAAAAAAAAAATAATAATAATATTGAAAAAAAATATAGCTAAGTCAAAAACTCAGCAAATAATATAAAATTGAATGAAAAGCCTAATACAAATAAAGAAGAGATAAATCAGAAAACAAAAGAAAAAAAAGAAATAATTAAAAGTAATGAACAAGTGTAGAAAAACTTAAAAAAAGTATCAAATTACATAAAAGAATTAATAACAAAATATAAAAACATCAACAAATAATTAAAAACTCTTCCTAATGATCACTTGTACTGAATTTCACACCAACAAAAATGAAAAACTTATTAGAGAAAGTAGAAGAGGTTACTATATAAATAATAGTTTTTATAAAAGTCAAAGTGGTTCTTCTACATTGGACTCCTTTATATATTTAGTAAGCAAACTAAAAGCACGTATATACAAGATAACTAGCAGGAGGCATCCTTGTACAATAAATTTTAGTAGAAGTCTCAGCTTCTGTTAACAAAGTTAAAAAATAGTAGGCCTTATAGAAGAACAATAAACAAGTTTTTAACACATTCACTAAAATTCAAGGATACCTGCTAACTGAACACTATTACTATATTCCTCACTTGGTTTTTGATAAAAGTTTTTATAAAAAGTGGAAATTTAGCGTACTTTTTATGAAAAATCTATAGAAATCGTCCATTTTGGGAATAAGAGAATTATCATTTTTCTGGAATTAGGAGTTGCTCTAATTGGAATAAAAAGGTCAGCTGTAGAACTAGTAAGGAAGAAATTAAACACTAACATCTCTATCATCGAATAATATTTATATATAGTATAGACCTATTTCTAGAATAGAGACTAGAAGTAGTAGTACTATATAATTTTTACAATTTGCTCTGGCTGGGGCTTTGGCCCTCTTTTTGTTTTTTTTTTTTTTACTATTATATGTTTATTTTGCTGTTTTGTTTTGATTTGGGTTCTGTTTGTTTACTTTTGGTTTTTTTAGTTATGTTCTTATTTGTATTCAATTTTATAATACACTTTTTTTTTTGGCCTTTTGAGAAGAAGAAAGAATTTAAAGAAAAGATTGAAGACAGTTAATGCTTGTTCTAAAAGAGAGAAATCCTTTCTGGTACAGCTTTAAGTAACCAGATAAGCAGTTTATCTTTACCTGAGATAGTGCAGCAGGTCATACTTAGGTACCAATAAGATGGCTGGATGATGCTAGACTTAGTTATTAGGAAAATTCTATATGGTTTTTTTTTTTTTTAATATTAACAGTAAGGCCATATCTTAAAATTCTATATAGTTATTGTATATAGTTGTAAGAATCTTAATAAAGTACTAGCATGGCTGCTTAAGAGCAAAAAAAAAAAAAAAAAATTATAAAAACATAAATAAAGTAGATAACATTTATACAATATAGGATATTCTAACAAAGGTTCAGCCAACTGTATAAAAAAATATCTTCAATTCTATAATAGAATTAGGTTTATATAATAGAAAAGTTATGATAATAGTAAAACTATAACATTCTCAATAGGGTTTAAAAATAAAAAGAGAAAACTAATACTTGATCAAACATGTTTAGTATATTTTTAAAAAGACAAAACCTATAGAACTTCAGATGCTTTTACTAAAGAATTGTTAGAAATAAGAGCTTTATACAAAGCAATAATTAGAAATATTTTAATAACAGCAATAAAAGTATTACTATTAAAACAGTTTAAAGCAATAAAAGCAAAAGCAGTTTATATATCAGTTAATAGAAATAAGAATCAGTGATAAACAGCATTAGTATATTTTAAAACAGAAAAAAACCTTAATATAGTTATAAGAAAGAAAGTATATTAGGGCTGTGACAGATATTACGTAATATTTATATACTATAAGGGTACACCCCCTCCCCCCCATGTAAGATCAATTATGATTGGCTAATTTCATATTATAAAAAAAATACTAGTTTATAGTTTTTAAGTAATTATAAACTAATAATATTTGAACATTAAAGTAATATAATCTAATTATAAAATTTAATTTATTTTGTCAGAAATTATCAATTTACTTTTGTACTTTAACAATGTAACTTAAAGCATTATATGTCTTGCCAAAAAACTCAAAAACCTCAACCTAATTTTCTTTGATAATACTTATGTTATTTTAAAAACTTCAAGATTCTAAATTAAGACTACTGCTATAAACCTCCACTCAAATATTTGAATAACTAAAGATTTAGCCTTATCAAGTATCTAATCAAGGCGTATGTATTTAACCTTTGGGTAATTCTTAATATGAAATTCCTTTCTACACTACAATTAGTGTTAAATAAGGAATTGTTAAACAACGTAACTATAGCCTCTTAATATAGTAATTAATGTATTGCGCAAGAAAAAAGAATCTAATCCAAATTTGTAACAAGGTCGATAATCAAAGAAGTTACTTACAGAGAGAAAGCACATGGCATACCATGTTCAAACTTGTAGAGTTTCAGGGCTGAAAACAAATAAACTTGGCAATAACACTTCAATAACTGGGGTCTGCGTATTTTTACAATTTGCACATCGGTTCAATTACATCCAATATAAAATACAAGGGCAAGTTTTACTCCTGATTATTGTTGTATATAAATCACCTTTGGAAGTCCATAGACGTTATCTTAAAACAAGGCATATCATTTCTATGGATTCAAAATTCAAAATAACACCTATGGTTGTTATTTCATAACTTCATAGATAATATAATGAATTGTTGTAAAATAGATTATGTGGTTTAAGTTAGTAATGAAATAAATAGAAAAGCTATGAAGTCATATGCATGTAATGAAAAAAACTCATGAGTGTATGGCACAAACTCTATCGCAAAGCTTATCTCAACTGACTTATTGAATTGCTATAAAAGAGTTATTACATATTATCAGCCAACATTTAAAATTAAATAATAAATTTAACCAGTATTCCATAACTCATACCTCTATTTTGTTGCATGAATATCTAACATAATGAGTCGGCAAACTTTTCTTTCCAGTCCAAAGTTCAATAAGACTTATATATACAAATCTCCTAATACCAAATATCAGTAGTTCACTAATGCATTTGTGTACTGTTTAATGGTAGAAAATGAAAATCCAATTTCAGATAAATTAAATATATGTGATGCTACTACAAAAGAATGAAACAATGTTAAAAAATTTGAAGAAACTAGAATTGACAATATTATAAAAGAGTACTTAGCTACACCCATTAAATTAAACAGATTCATCAGGTCTACTACTTCATCTCAAAAAACAAAAAATCCAGAAATTACAGCTGGTAGTTCTTCCCATACTGCAATACTAACAACAATTCCTATAGAAGAAGAAATTCAGAATAATGCAACAGCTCAAAAACAGATAGCTAGTTCTAAAGAAATTGCTGAAAAAAAAATTAAAGTGTTGGAACAAATATATAACATTACTACTGATCCACAGCCTTTGTATGATTTATATAATAGAATCAAAAGTCTAAGAACTGATATTCAATCGTATGAAAAAAAAATGCAAAAATTAAAAAGAAATGCTGAATATCAGTCCAAATGTTATTCTAAAAAAACTAAAGCTATAGTAAAGCGACAAGAGGTAGTTAAATATGATAAAAGTAGTAGACCATCATTCTTACTTCAACACTCAGATTTGTTAGAACATATACATGATTCAGTTGAGTATGGATCAGCAGATGCATGTAGATGTAAAGAAGCCATTAAAGTAAGGATTGTAAGTCATCTATGAGAAAACCTTGAAAAAAACTATGGTATCTATATGGCTAAAACAACTTTAAACAACTATCTTCTGCCTTATTGCTCTAATTTAGTTGCAGCAAAGGCTCACCATCACCTCATCTGGATAGCTGTAGCTGGAGTTTTACGTGACAAACAAAGTATCATCCTAATGATCACTATTGTCTTGCTTCTGTAAAAGGAGCAAGGCAATTTGCACAAACCTTTGCTGAATTTTCTGTTATCATCTCACAAGATGATAAAGTGAAAATAAGTTTAGGTATAGCTGCAGTTGGCAGAACATTTCATACCTTGCAATCATCCTTTCAACCAGTCCAAATACCTGACCATGACTTTGTACATAGAAGTAATCAAAAACTTATTCCCTCAGTTTACCTTATAATTAAACCAAGTAAAGCTAATGATAACCTTTGGACAGGGCAAGTTGCAATTTTTGTTCAGCCTCAATGGTCAATCGGCACATCATCTATTACCCACATGGAAGATCTTACTTGTCTTGTATTAGATAATCAATATTCTAAAGCACTAAAAGTGAATAGTAATATAAAACCAATATGGATATTATTAGTTAATGGTGGACCTGACGAAAATTCCAGGCACCTTAAAAATATTGAATCATATTGCAAGATTTTTAAAAAATTTGGTCTTGATTACTTGTCTGTATGTACACATGCCCCAGGCCAATCGAAATATAATCCTGTTGAAAAGGGTATGGCTACACTTTCTAGTAAGTTAGCTAGGGTTGTATTGCCAATAGATTATTTTGGAAAGCACCTTGATAGTCAGAGTAGAGTTATTAATAATGAATTAGCAAATAAAAATTTTTATTATGCTGGTTCTATGCTAAGTGATATATGGAGTCAGGATCCTATCTTTGGAAAATATGTAAAAACAACATATGTCAACAAAATAACTAATCCATTCGTGAATATTGTGTTTGCTTGTGAAGGAGAAAAAGAAGTTAAAAAAAAAAAAAAAAATTAAATCAACAAGATTTTGAAGATGAAGAAGAGAAAAATGGCTCTAATGAATTTGCTAATATTTCTGTTCCGTGGACCTGGAAAGAAAAGCATTGTAATATATGCCAGTATTCAGTCGATATTAAACATTGTACCGATCTAAGTTGCTGTAAACCTATCAGAGCACAAGAGGCTATGGATTTTCTTCAACCCTTCAATGGTTTTCTTCCTCCTATTACCAAAGCCCGAGATGGACACTATCTTAACCCTGTTCACCTTCTTCAATATTCTGAGTTGTTTAAAGTTCCTAAATATGATGCCCATTGTCCATTTATTGACCAAACAACATATTCTCGACTTTGCTGCTCAATTTGTCATAAGTATTTTCCAACTCTATCATATGTAGCAAAGTATAAACGTTTACAACATTCATCTACCTGTGAAAGGCTCAAAAAAAAACCAGAAAATTTGGAATCAATTGCAGAATTCGTTCTAATTACAAACTCTGCAACTATGAAAGACTTGAACTTACCATTTCTATAACAAAATGAAAATGAATTTTTTAACGAATGCAGAAAATGTTTTTCAGATATAGAATAAAAATATAATACAGTATTTTTTTTTTCTTTCCAATAATAAAAAAAAAACAGAACTATTCTTGAGCTATACAAATTTAATATCTCGGTTTTCATAAGATCTTTAGATAGATTTGGGCTAACTAGCTTTTTTTTAAAACCCCACTCCTCCCGCTTATTAAAATATATTTTTTAAAATTTTTGAATTTATTCTACCCGACTTATGAAAACCAAGTAACTAATTAATTTTGCCTGGTCTCATATATATATACTTAGCTTTATATCTCTACGTACTCCCAGAACTATACATATGTTAAGATCAATATAATCAATAATTTATATATTGCATAACTTAAATATATTTGGCTATTCACTTTAGTTATTTTTGGTTAGCATTAGTTTAAATACGTAAGATAGTAGCTATAGTTTTTTTTTTAAAAGTTATAAAAAATAATGTACAAGGTGTATATATTAAAATATAAAGATATAGTAACCGCGGGTTTACTACTTATATTGTATTATCGTACTGTATTTTCCTGATGTGTACTGTACTACTCGAGTATATAAGTATGAAAAATATAGAGTATTACACTTATATACCCAGCATATAATAGTAAGGGGACTACCCATATTAGGAAAATACTATATAGTATTATATATTGTACTATATATCGTAAATATATATAATAGATATATATATTATATTATGTGAAACATAAGACATTCTTACCCCTCCTTCCTCCCTAAGATATTATATAATATCTGTCACTGCCTTTATTATAATATAAGATTGAAATAGAGCTTTGTAAGATTGTATAAAAGTAATAAAGTAATAAAAAAAAAATAAAATAAAAGTATACTATGTTATTAAAAATAGTACACAATATAAGAAGTTTTAAAAGACAAAAAAGAATTTAAAAAAAAGAACAACAATAAAAAAAACTAACAAAGTAAAGATAAGTTAATTAAAAAAAAATATAAAGATAATATTCAGTCAAAAGTAATTAAGGTTAAAAAGGCAAAGAGTAGTTTACAAGACATCTTAACAGAATTTTAAAAAGATTAAATAAAATAAAAAAAAAACAATTAGAGAGCATTGTTCTAAATTGTTTTTAAAAGTTGTTGTAAATGTTTTTTAAAAAGAGACAATTACTTTGTCAAATGTAGAAATAAAAAGTTATAATAATGAATTAGATTAAAATAGAAACAAATATAACAAAAGTGATAATAGTATAATAAGTATTAAAATAGTATGCTATAATATAAATAAGATAAAAAACAATAAGATCAAACTAAAAACTATAATTGAATAGTTAAAAAAAAAGAAGATTAAAATTCTGTGATTAGTAAAAACAAATAATAATAGTAAAGGCTTAAGATTTAGTTTAAAGAATAAGTATTTTAAAGGTTTTTGAATATAAAGTATAGTTATAAAAAAGAAAAAATTCAGTGTTAAGATATTAGTAAGTTAAAAATAAAAAAAAACATATAAAAGAAGTCTATAGATTTGAGAAATATTTAGTTGAAGCAAAGTTTTATTTTAAACAAATGAAGTTTATAATAATAGTGATACACATTTCCAAATAATAGAAAAATAAGCAAGAAATTATAACAAGTAATAGTAATAATATATATAAAGAAAGCATATAACTTACAGTTTAGGGTATCATTTTGAATAAGAGCTCAAAGCATCTATACAAAGTGTAACATTACATATATATAGAAAAATATTAAAACAATTATACTATATAAAATTTAGTGCAAATCTACAATAAGACTACTAGATACATAATATTAAGAAACTAAAGCACAAAAATCTACTTAGAAATTCTAAATAAAAAAGTAACATAAATTTTTAATAATATTACTAAACTAATAGAAGTTTTAGAAAGAACAGCTAGAATAAATCAAACAACAATATTTATAAAAGAGTATATACCAATTAGACTGCCAGAAATCACCAAAAAAAAGGATCTTAAAGTACTATATTAGGCTATTTGAATTGGTAGTTTGAGAAGTCTTATAGATTTTTTAAAAGAAACAGTTAAAATAAATCAAATAACAATATATATAAAGAAGCATATATTAACCAGATTACTAGGAATTGTTAGAGAAAAAGAATTCTAGAATACTATATTAGGCCATCTGAATTGGTAGTTTGGAAAGTCTTATAGGCTTAAAGTAAGAAACAGAAGTTAAAAAAAAAAGTATTGGAGTTCTAGTAAACTTTATATGAGTAGAAATAGTATAATATAGTAGTTAAATAGGTAATCTCTATAATTGCAAATGTTAGATAACTATAGTATATTGTATAAAATTAATATATATAGGATATAAAGACTTTAATAAGTTTTCTGTTGAAAATAAACTAGTCTTAAAAGTATTGATAAGAATCAAGAACTTGGATGAGTAATACTTTAAAAATGTTTTTATAATACAAGATAGATTGCATATACAGAGAGTTTAAATAGACAAGACCTCTAGCTGGCTTGCAAGTATAATATCTAGTATAGAACTTATATAGTAATATATAAGCAAACTACTTAAATTAGATATCAAAAATACATATATAGTTAGTTGTAACCTCCAATGTAAAGAAGTCTCTAAAGATACTTGTGTTTTATAAACTTGAATAAAATTATTTTCTAAAGACAAGAACTTTAATTATAAATAAAAATAAATAAAAATAACTTATAGTTTATAATTATAAATAATTTTAATTATATAGTTAATAGCAAGTTAGACAAAATAAGTAGTAGTATTAATAATAGTAATAGAACTTTTTTATTATATAAATAGTTGATAAATCAAAATGTTAGTAATATATATAGATTATATAATCTAGAGCTAAGAGGTTATACTTGATTAGAGCAGAATGTACAAACAAAAATATACCAAATATGGGTATTAGAAGATTTGTAACTAAATATGAAATAAGCAAAAATTATTAATGCAGAATTTATAACTTCTAGCAATTATAATATTATTTGTTTAATAATATTATTTAAGCATTTAGTTAAGACATAAAATATAGTAAAAACAAAGAGAAGAGATCTAACAAGAACAATTTATTTATATAATAAGACAACAAAAAAAAACTAAAAAGATTATCAAACAGACCTCAAAAATTATCTATCAAAGAACAAAAATTTAAAGTATTTGAAAAAGTTTGTTATAGTACTAATATATATATATATATTTTTTTTCATATAAGCAGTCACTCTAGTACTTTATTAAGATTTTGAAATTACATTTGTAACTACATAAATATCTCTAATATCTAAGTTTAGCATCACCTGGCCACCTTAATGGTACCTAAGTGCAACCTGCCACATTACTTCAAACAGAAGTAAGCTACTTATCTGACTACTTAAAGTCCATAATGAAAGGGTTTTCTTCCTTCTATAACAAGCCCCAATATTGTCTTCATTACTTCTTTTTCAACTTGCTTTTCTTTTTCTTTTAGTCTTTCTTTCTTTTCTTC